TGACATGAGTCTACTTAGTGAAAAAGCAGTTTAATACGGCAGGAGATAACAGCAAATTTTCAGTGTTGATTTGTTTTTAAATCCTCTGGTTCAATCAAAAATAATAAGTATAAGTACTTTCTAGAGATAAAGGAAACATGAAACCCTATTTTCATAATTTGAATTTAGTTTCATTTGAATGATAAATGGTTGAATTTGGTCATTTGAATGGTTGGAATGTTAATAAGGTAATCAGGATAATATGGGACAGTCTTCATTAGTGTTTATAAACATATGTCTATAGCCGTGTTCTTAGTCATATATTAATGTATTCTGCAAAATGCTGAATGTTTTCATTCAACACATTTTGATGATTTGACTTGACTTTGTCTATGTGTGGGCTTACATGGATCTGAAAATCTATATGCAATGAATTGAAAAGATATAGGAGCAAATGCGTGTTACGTCTGTGACTGCTGAGAGTTGCAGGTTTGCTAATGCATGCTAAGAATGGAGGGAAAAAATGCAGATGTGGATACATGAACATGGAATAAACTCCGCGGTTTCTGTCATGCATACAGAACGGCTCTTACATTGTGCTGATACATATATTTACCCTGTAATCCTCTGCTTTGTGCCCTGTGATTTCTGAGACGGGCGTAACGTTCACCACAACCATGTAGATAAATGGTTTGAAAATGAATGGGCAATATATATATGTGTAGTGTAAAATCTATCTGTATGTATCTGTGCAACAACAAATTCTGGATGGCACCTTGAGAAAACACCTTACGTGTGAGTGATTTATTGCTGCATTTCTTACCGCATGTTTTTTTTGCCGTTCTTCATGAGTGAATTTTCTGGACCATGTCATCCTGATAAGTATTATATTTCTCTGTCATACCTTCAAAGGCAAAGCTACTGATGCAAGATTTTAATGGATTATGTATAATATATTAGACTATAATTCTGATGGATTATGAGTCATTCCCTAGCTGAGCCGTGATACAAACTTAATGAGTAGTCCTACAATGTAGAAGTAAGAATGCACATGTGACTTCTAGGGCTGGTGAATTTGAGAGGATGTTGTAAGCTGTGTTTTGTAGTGCATGCAGAAGGAATCTGTAGGTGTCAAGCCTGTTTAAATCTGCTACTCCTGTCGTAAGTGAACCAGTCAGAAAGGAGTGTTTACAAACACAATGAGAAGGAACATATGAGAGCCTCGATCCTAACCAGGGTCCTGCCTTAACGTGGTTTAAGTGCATAGAACTGGGACGGATTTTAACCGATTCTCTGGATTTTGGCTGCTGTTCAGCTGCACAGAAAAAGCCATTCTTCTTTCCAGCTCGCCCCACATCCGCCATGCATTCCGGTCTGCGCGGCCTTCACATGCTCACACGTCTTTCCTCCACGGTGTCTGCGTCTGAAAACGACCTCTAACCCTGATGTTTTTTTGCAGCCCATGTTTTCTGCTAAAACATCCTATGCTCTGTACGCTGCACTCTATTATCAGCCTCGTCTTGGCCTTTTGACGTGTTTACCTGCCTTTCCTGTTCCACTCTCAGTGCACAATGTGACGCTAGAGGCATGTCTCACATGCTGCCTGCCCTGACGTTTGCATGCCCTGTCGGAGCAACACGTGGCTCGAAGTCTCTCTCCATCCCTGGGAAGATCTGGTTTCTGTGTTTTTGGTACCGAAGAACAGGGTTGCCAACTCTCCTGCATCTGGTGTGACACTCAGGCTTTCAGACGTTCACACTCATGCAGGAAATCTCATAGCAAATGTATATTATTCCATCATAAACCTAAAATTAGCTACATCAAAAGCATTGAGGTAGTTTGCAAACCCTACAGACTATTTACAAGTTAATAAAACTATTACATACATGTAAATGAGTGTGCAGACTTGTCTTGAATTGAAAATCTCACACCAACCAGCTGACCAAAGTTAACAGCCCTGAGAGAAGAGGGTAGAATGTAACTTTTACTGCAATGTGAGACTCGGTGCTTTCTTGCTATTTCGAATTTTTCACAGCATCTGCCAATTCTAGGGCAATACCACCAACATTTATATCTCATTTTCTCCCCCAATATTTCCTATAGCTGAAACCTACATAGAATAACACTTAATACATTTTAATTTAGACACGGGACAGGATAAGTGGTTATGGAAGATGAATATTTTAGTTACTAGCAAACTCAGGATTTTTGATGTGTGGTTCGCTGTCTGAAGATCTCAGCTCCCTAGATGTACCAATGATATTCTACCATCATTGAAAGGCTGCTTTATGTTTTTATTGTACCAAGGAGAATTATAAATCTGTAAGAGCTAGGGGCATCTTTTGTACTAATTTCATTCATATTCTAATAATTTGTGTAAATTGAAAACATGCAAAAATCATATTACTTGGCTGGAATTTCACTTCCAAGATATTTTTCCTGTTGTATAATATAGAGATTGTAGCTTCCTTATCTGGCCGTTCTTCGGTTCCTGTATGTCTGGGTTCACATGATCCATAGTAAAGGTGAACATCTGATGTGCCCCTTTAACCTCCATTCAAATGATTCTTGTCAACTTCTGAAAACCTTCCCTCGCTGTTGCCTAGCAACATGGGGCTCACTCCCAATCCTCAAGGTCACGCTTTCAGACAGCTGCCTATGGTCGCTGCAGTTCAGTATGTCTGCCTCAACTGAATTATGTTTCACTGAGTACTTCAGTTTAATTATTTCAGAGAAAAATATGTTCCTACAACACTCATTTGGCTCTCCAGTCTGCTCCTCCTTCGTTGATTGTGGCCTACACTGAAACGGGGTTCTTTGCCAGCCAAGAGTGAAGCGCTGCACTTGAATTACACTTCTGAGAATGAAATGCGATGCTTGAAAACTAGTGATCAACTGCAGATCGCACCATAATGAGGTCACTCCATTCAGGTGTGCTGCGAGTCATATCACATCAGGAAAATACATTTTTAGTGCAGTTTTTGCTCAGCTGAATTTCCATCAGAAGTTAAAATGTTGCACAAGGCCAGTGACAGAGTGTCCTGTAACACAAGGCCAGTGACAGAGTGTCCTGTAACACAAGGCCAGTGACAGAGTGTCCTGTAACACAAGGCNCACAAGGCCAGTGACAGAGTGTCCTGTAACACAAGGCCAGTGACAGAGTGTCCTGTAACACAAGGCCAGTGACAGAGTGTCCTGTAACACAAGGCCAGTGCACAATGCAACAAGAAACTTTATTAAGGATGCAGTTTTGCAGCCTCTGTTTTACTCTTTCTTTAATTGACTTCATAATGGCTAAATATTAAATAGAACAGATGAAAGTATTGTTTGTCAGACATGGAAAGACCTTATATTATTATATATTTTATTATATTATATGACACCTAGTTTCAAATCAAGCACGCAGATGCACTCTGATATGCAAATTGTGTGGGTAGCTGTGATTCTACAGTCGTGCCGCGCTGTGCACTGTGACCTGCCTTCTTATGAATAATGCACCACCACTAGAATTGATTCAGATTTGTTTGTAGTGTTTCATGTACTGAAATTTTGAACCACGTGGCCCCACATGAAATGTGGCTGATTTTACTGGATTCTGTTTGTGATTCTGACGTCTACACCCGGGTTATGTAATTTCAGCTCCCGAGTACTGCCGGGCTTGCTTATTTTCACTCTGCCCAGCTGTTTATCGCTTTGTTGAACTCATTACTTTCCATGATAAGTGGTGTTTCAGGTGTTAATCAGGTGATAAGGAAAACGTATTCCGCCATCTGCAAGACTGCAGCCATCAAACCATGCATGGCCACACCGAATCTGCACACTGCTGCAAACACGGATTCTCACAGACGTGCACGTGTGTGTGTGTGTGCTGCAATCCAGATTAATACTTATGGGTGGTCTTTAAAAACTGAAGACCCATGCAGAAATAGCGTCAAACTAATTTCAGAAAGCAGTGAATAAAATTCTCTTTAAAATTTTCAAAGTCAACATATTGCTCTGCACACCTTTCCAAGGATTGGTTTCATGTTTGTATCAAAAACACTATTTACAAATCTTGGCAGTTCAGTCCATAATCACTTTGGAGAATGAAATGCTTGCATCTTTTATTCACAGACTTGGACTGTAAAAAGGGGTTTTAAAAGGTTTGTCATGCAGGTGAGGAATGAAATAAATCATGTTGATTTATATAATTATAACAGATTATATGTTTTGTAATTTCTTCAAATACTGGAATGTTTCTGGTGATGTGTGGCTGGATGAAAGTTGTCCAGCTAAATGCTGGTGTAGATTTAGCTCCGTAACAGAGTAACAGGCACCACAACTCTGACAATGGAAAAATCATTTATAATGATGCTGTAACTGCTGAGTCGCACGACCGCGGAATTTGCCCGCTGGATACTTTCACAGGAGCAACTCCTTCTAAGGACCTTGCTCACCGACACAGCAGTGGGGCCACCAGCAACCTTTAAGAACAGGCCACCTGTCCTTCTGAACTGACCTCGAATCTGGCCGCGCTGATTGTCTTTAAACAGCATGCGTAGCTGTAAAGCAGGAAACAAAACACAATGATGTGGGGAAAGAATGTACTGCCGTTTGGTGCCCAGCAAGAGGGACCTGAAGTGGTGTCTGGGCGAGCAGGCATGTCGTGCAGCAGGAGGTACTGGTCCGATTTGATGTTTTTGCAAGCCCCAGTGTTAGGGATTCCAATTTGAAGCAGGAAATGGGAAATTTGTTGGAATGCTTTACTGCACACCATTTTCAACTGTTTATAATATTCTTCTGTGTCTGCATATTTTCTCTGTGCACATTATTCATCAGAATAAAAACAGGAACTATGAAAACCTCGACCAACTGTCCTATGACAACAAGCGAGGACCCAAGGTATATTTTGCATGGCCAATGCACGCCGCCCACCAATTCTCTGAACGTAGAAATTAGAATCCAATGAATCAGTCAAGCGCCAAACCTCAAATTCTTATCCTGATGGCACGTCTTTTTTTATGTTGAGATTCTTTTTTTTTATGATTTGAATCGAGACTGTTTTTAATGCGAGAAAAAATGATTTTAATAAAGAAATGCCCCCACCTTTTTGTTTTTGTGAAGGAATGCATGCGATCAGAACAACAAGTTTGCAAGTGTGGAGATTTGGCCATGTAGGGCAGGAAATACCCAAATACTATCTTCCACCTTTCTGCCGCATTTCTTACTTTGAAGTATTTTTCCATTGGAAAAAAAGCTCTCCCCTCCACCCGTTTTTTGATTTCCAGTTGCATCGATCTTCTTCTCCCTCTCTACCTCTAACATGCACGCCCTTCTTTGGAGTCTTGATAACCTTCAGTTTGCATGCAAAAATGCAGAATTTTTTCCCCCTTCCAAGTTTAAATTTTTTTTTTTTTTTATTTAAAGAGATTCTTGGAGCTCTTTCCATTTTTCTGCCGAAAGCATAAAGATCCAAGCAAGGCAAAAGAGCTAAGCAGAGCATGGTTCAGGCAGGGCGCGAACAGCGAACGTGACTGATTTCTTTCACCTCAATCACAGGCAGAGAAAGTCCTACTCTTCAGCCAAGACACAAACATCACTGCAATGCTGAAGGAGGCCAAGGATCTGGAAGCCAGGGTCTTCATCCTCTCCGCCAGGTGAGCAGCGGCCGTTCTGTTTTTGTCATATTACTCCCGTTGTCTCGCACAATTGCGTGTGCTTTGTTTAGTAGGATTTTCCACTTTATTTTTTTGCTTTTAACAATGATTGCAAATCCCTCTTTACTAGTTGTTAAAAGTGTAGAATACTCCCAGATAATCCCCTCTTGTCAGATTTTCTTACGCTCCTCGTGTTGAAGAGCGTATGCCCGTGACGTCACAGCAGGCGGAAGTCACTGCGCTCACACCCACTGAGTGGCAGCGTTGGCGTTCAGCTTGGATGTCTCAAAAAATAATCTAAAATGGGAAAGAGCTGCCGTGCGATTGATTGTACAAATCGATTTAACGCTATGTTTTTACAGGCTGTCGAAAACTAAATAAGTAAGTATCAGACGTTGATCGGTCGCATATGGCCGATACCCGATCCGTCTAATAGGTATGGAATATAGGATCGGGACGCCTCTAGCACATAGTAAAATTACACTATCAAAATTGTTTATATGGGTTCAGCCACTATATGGAAGATCGGAAGCGATTGACCTGTCAGGGAGATTCGTCGGCTTGAGTGTGACGTGGGTCGGAGACCCGGCGGAGCCTGCAAGTACGCGGGGAAACGACCTAAAACCGTCTTTCTGGCTGTAGTGAGGAAGACGCGGCAGCTGTGTACAAGGCTGCCCGGCAGCTTAACATGACTGGCTCTGGCTATGTCTGGATGGTGGGAGAGCGAGAGATGTCCGGAAAGGCCCTGAGTGAAGCGCCAGATGGTACGTACCTCGAAGTGCTGCGGGCATGTTAGCTGCTTTTCCTTAATCCTAATCCTAATCCTAACCGTGACTCCCGGAAGCCACGGAAATGACAATTCTCTGTTTTTTTCCATTTGAGAAGGATATCATCACGTCAACTAAAATGGTACATCTGAGTTAAATGGTAATGTCTCTCAAAAATGACATTTCTATGAACTCTGAAAAGGAATATATATTATGTTTTAAATTCTGTAGAATCTTCATTGTTATGTCTTTCATAGAGTTGTATGACTGAAGCGAAAAGCATCCGCCTAGGTCAAGGTGTTGTATAAGGTCACATACTGTACATTAAATTTACAGATTAGACAAACACAAAATCATGCATAAGGTATTAAAACATAATAGCTACAGAATACACCTAAAGTATGTAACAAATGAAGGGCTATTGACTGTTTAAACTGGGGCCATTCACTGACCATAGCTACTGATAGTATTCACATTGTGGTCTTGAATTTGGTGAGTGTGGTTTTAGCTACTGAGATGGGTTGGTGCCCCGTCCTGGGGTGTTCTCTGCCTTGTGCCTGTAGCCTCCAAGATAGACTCCAGTCTCGGACAAGTGGTTACAGAATATAGATGTGTGGGTGGGTGGATGGATGGATGGTTCTAGCTGGTTCTAGCTATAATTTATGTTGACTTACTAACAAACTTAAAATCTATGTTCTGTCAAAGCATGTTCTGGAAATGTTACTGAAACAGAATGGTAAGCTGTGTAAATTTTTATTATCTCAGCAGATTTCAACAAGACTATCTAGTTTTGCACACTTACTGGTTAACTTCATTGTGTAAAGGCCTAGCTGGCACTAGTGATATTTTGTGACAGTAATTTGAATATCATGTGGATGGGGTAGGTCTGATTGGCCTCCAGTTGATCAATGGCAAGAATGAGTCGGCACACATAAACGATGCTGTGGCCGTGGTAGCCCAATCCATCCAGGAGCTCTTTGAGAAAGAGAACATCACAGAGCCGCCACGAGGCTGCGTGGGCAACACCAACATCTGGAAGACAGGGCCGCTCTTCAAACGGTAAGGGCAAATACGTTTGCCCATATTTTATTGACCACCTCTCAGGACACCCAAAATACAACTAATAGAACTAATCTTACTGACATTTTCTTACTGTATAACCAGATTGGCACTGAATTGAATTTAGTGATTAATTGTCATTGTTGACACACCACAGCACACAGCACACAACAACAAAATGTGTCCTCTGCATTTAACCCATATGTGACAATGTGACATAGCTGGGGGCAGCTAATTCAGCACCCGGGGAGCAGTGCTTGGGGGCGGTACCTTGCTCAGAGTACCTCAGTGGTACCTTGCTGGTCGGGGATTCAAACCTGCAATCTTTCAATTACGAGTGTGCTTCCCTAACCATTAAGCCACCACTGCCCACAAAACTGGGAATTGTCAATGATATTGCTTCTTGATTCATTAATTATCCATGCACAAGTAAACCCGTGTGAAGTTGCCCCCCCCCTCATATGTTTCAGATTTTACACAAGCTAGTGTTAATCTTTGTGCCACATTTGTGCTGTCGAAATTTTCATTTGTGCAGCTTTATTTTCTGAGGTATAAATGTTTGTTTAAATGGCGGTGTGATCACTGTGGGGTAACCCCCCATTCGCATCTGATTTATACCAAACCAATTTCAAAGTTGTATTCTCAAACAATAGAGACCAGTTTGGTTAAAGTCTGAAACATATGGGGGGGGCAACATCACGCAGGTGTGAAACACATATGCAAATATAGGCTAGTATAGTTCATGACGTGTATATAGTTGGGCGAGTTTGTTCATTTAGGTAAATTTCTGAATCACGCTCAGGGTTCTCAGCTCAGGGTTCTCAGCTCAGGGTTCTCAGCTAAGGGTTCTCAGCTCAGGGTTCTCAGCACAGGGTTCTCAGAAGTGTTGGAGATTCTTTTGAGAACACCATAAGTAAAGGTTAACTAAACATTAGCTTTTTATAATGGCGGATATTGGCAAAAAATGATGAGTTTCAGGTGTCCAACTATATCAACATCTACAGAACCTTTGGAAAACAATTTCATTTATAATTATCAGTGTCTTAATTGACATCTGCAGATGGACAGATAATGACATAGTACTAAACATGGATAAATTATATGGATTGGGATCATGTGTAGGAAATGTGTGTCCTTTCTAGGGCTAACAGTGATGTGGTAGGTAGGGGGCTAAAGACAAACAACACGGAGAACAAAACAACAAAGAAACAATGCAAACCACAAAGACGCATCAGCATGCAGATGTGGAGAGAAAAACCACTGCAGACTCTGGACTGGGGCACTGTGCCAGGTCTTCAGCACAATCGCTCAGGGCTGGCTGCTGCTCCCAGCAGGCCAAAATTGGTGTTACTTTAGCTGAATGGACCAAGGCCTTTGGCGATATGGGAATCCAGTGCTGAGTAATAAGGTTTTCCTGAAAAATCAATGGCTTTCATTTTACCAGATTTGTCTTTCCTTAATGCTTGTCTGCATTTGTTTTATTGTGTCTGTTTCATGTGTGTTTAAAAATAATTTTTAGATTACCCATGGACTACTGTGCTATAAGAATGCATTCTTATGCATTGTTTGTGTGTGTGTGTGTATGTGTATAATATAATATAAGCCATTTTTTCCATGTTAAATAAGCTGGTGATGCGTACAATTATGACGTGAGACTTGTTTTTGTATTCTGAATGTTATGGCATGAATCCACGGGAAAACTAAATTGCCAAATGGATTGGATTGGCCCCGTGAAACCGTGGAGTGTGTTGAAATGTATAAGCATATAAGCAATGTCATTGCACTATAAAAGTAGGCATGTATTTGTTTCTACAAAGACGAATAATTGCTAACATACAATTTGTTCCTACAACTGCATTGCCCTTTAATTCATTATCCTGATTAACTGAGAAACACAACTTTTCCTTTCTGGTGCCTTAGAGTGCTGATGTCTTCCAAGTTTCCAGAGGGTTTGACAGGACGTGTGGAGTTTAATGATGATGGGGACAGGAAATTTGCACACTACAACATTCTGAACTACCAGAAGAGCAGGCTCATCCAAGTTGGCCTTTTCAATGGCACCCAGGTGTGGAATCTTCGATGGCTAACTTGCTGTTTTTACCTAAACAATTAGCGTGTGCTTTCAGTCAGACACATTAGTGTTTTTTTTGGTGACATAGGTTTTACAGTTTTTATTCAAAGAAATTCATTAAAGATCAAACTCATCAATAATACATCCCTTTCAGAGACTTTTCAGTTTAGGAATTAGGCTGAAGCCTACTTAATGAAAAGGAAGGCATGAATTACTAAATGACCTTTCAATTAATCATGTAATCACAAACGTGGCTGTACAAAGTAGGAGAGACCATTAGTCCCTGTCACCGCTTGTTTCAGTTAATAGAACAATTAAGCATGGTACTGATATTTTGTAAGTGGTTTGGTGCTTTGATTTGCAGGTTGTGTTAAACAATCAGAAGAAAATCATCTGGCCTGGAGGAGAGACAGAGAAACCTAGAGGTTATCAAATGTCTACTCGACTTAAGGTAAAAGCCAGAGCCGTACTTGGTGTAGGCTCACCCTCTGCTGTCATGTTGTTTAATATCTGCAGTTTAATATCAGTGTTATGACGCGGGGTAACTGATGGTCCACAAAGGGGACTTCATTATCAAACAGAACACTAAATGCTCTAAACTAACCATGAGGGCCTAAACACATGAAGGATGCAACACTGGAACTAACTAGGACTTAAACTGGAAATGAGGAAACTCATAGGAAGCTAATAGTGCTGGAACAGGGCTTACAGTGTTGGGGGGGGGGCATTCAACAAAGAACATGTGAGCACATTTAAACTCAAAAAAGGTGACAGGAACAGAGCATGGACTGGCATATATATATACATACATACATACATACATACACACACACACACACACACACACACACACATACAGAGAATACAACCTAAACATGTAACCTAAGCACTAGGGACACAAACACCAGATACACCACATACAAGGAATACAGGGCAGCCTCAAACTCACGACCGTAGATGTATGGTTTGCAGCCGCATGCTCATCCCATTCAGCACATGGCAGCCTAGGGAACAGCTAAACTGTGAGGACTATAACTGGGGGTAAAGCAAGGGGAACACAGGGAACAGAACAGTATGACCAGTGACACCTGCTGGCCAAACAGGGAAACAACAGACAGAATGGGACATGGCAGGGATCGATCCTGATAATCTGTTTCTAAACATAAGCTGAATTCATGAGGTGGTCAGGCCCAAGTTAGTTTGAGGCACGTATAGAGTAACAAACAGACCCGCCTTTCTGTGTTTTTGGTGTAGATAGTCACCATTCACCAGGAACCTTTTGTGTATGTTAAACCCACCCTGCACGATGGGACCTGCAGGGAGGAATACACTGTCAATGGTGTCTTGATAAAGAAAGTCATCTGTACTGGACCCAATGAAACTATTCCAGGTAACAGGCATTTTGAACGTGACATTTTGCTTCTCTGACTCTTGGTTCTGTGACTTTGTGTCATGCTATACAGGCATATACAAACATGCATTTAAAACATTAACATTCTTCAGCACAGGTGTTGAGGGTGCTGTTAACCCTTCGTTTCTGTCCCTTGGATTATAGGACGCCCAATCGTGCCGCAGTGTTGCTATGGTTTCTGCATTGACCTACTAATCAAGCTGGCAATGACCTTGAACTTCACATATGAGGTGCATTTGGTGGCTGATGGTAAATTTGGGACACAAGAGCGGGTGAGCCCCTTCAGGCTACCTCAAGCATACCCTTCACCCTCTTAAAACCTGTCTCCAGTAGCCAGAGTGCTTTAAACATACCGGCTGCTATGTTTCGCTATTCCCATACGCTCCATTTGCTCTCCTTTTGAAAGCTATTTAGTGCAGTATGTAACCTTGCAGGGATTAAAAAGCATTTCACTGCAAAAGGAGAATAATTAAAAGTCCTTTTATTGTACAATTATGTATCCTTCTCAGGCTGGCCTGTCAAGCAATATTTGAGTCCCTAATCCTATTTATCATATTAAATGTAGTTTACTGCATATATGAGTCATCGTCTTATGTTTATATTCCAAAAAATATAATTACTGACAATCTGTGAATAAGAAATATGATTAAACTACTAAGCTTGTTAAGGATCCTGGAAATGGGGATGTCCTGTCCCAGAGAACAGTAAGAATACGAAACGTATTACAAGAAAATTAAGTAAAATGAATTCAAATGCATATTTCTCCATTGCTTTGTCCAGGTAAATAACAGCAACAAGAAAGAGTGGAACGGCATGATGGGAGAGCTTCTTGGGGGCCAAGCCGACATGATTGTGGCTCCGCTCACGATAAACAACGAGCGTGCCCAGTACATAGAGTTCTCCAAACCATTCAAGTACCAAGGCCTCACAATCCTGGTCAAGAAGGTAAGATTCTGCATACATTAAAGTACTGTTTCTCTCCAGCGTTCTGATATTTAATGTCCCAAACCATTTGATCCAGTTGTTCTTTGTGTGCAAATATTTGCACACAGAATGGTATATTGCACACGGAATAAATCCGTCCATTAATGTACAATGTGTATTTTTCAGGAAATCCCCCGCAGCACCCTGGACTCGTTCATGCAGCCTTTCCAGAGCACTCTGTGGCTGCTGGTGGGCCTCTCGGTGCACGTTGTGGCAGTCATGCTCTACCTACTTGATCGCTTCAGGTACAGTGTGGCGATAATAGTGAAGTACTAATTGTTTCCTCTTCAGTCTGGTTGCTGCTCCTCTAATCTCTAACATTATTTACATTCTGTAGCTGTTAAGCAAAGCCCATTATACGCAACCTGACATTTGCGCTATACCTATTGCCTGTATCTCGAAGCTGGATTTCTTGCTTAACCGGATAACTTGTCGGATTTAAGGTAGTCTAGTTTAAGTGAACAAAGATAAAGTCCATTTAATGGTACCTTAAATCTGACAAGCTACCTGGCTAAGCAAGAAATCCTGCTTTGTGATGCAGTCCTCTGTTAGCTGATTATAGTTGTCAACAATACGCATCCTTTATGGTCACGGTAGTGTGGAAATAAGGAGTCGTCGCATCATGGTGCTTTGTTGGAACACTTTCAGATAGCTTTTCCGTGATGCTTTGCATTAACTGCAGCTGCATAATGCCTTTGTAACACATTCGTATAACATTCAGCGCACCTTCATAAGGCATTCATAGAGCATTCCCAAGCAGCGTGTAAGTATACCTTAGCATTGCATTCATAATACTTTCAGTGAACAAGACATGAGGTAATACACATTAATAAGAAACTTTATAATCATATAATAATATGATGTTTGTTATTAATGTATTTTAAAGCTGTTAAGGCATTTTAGGAAGTTAATGTATACTTACATGCTGCTTATGAATGTTCTATGAATGCATTATAAAGGTATTATAAAGGTGCGCTTAATGTAAAGTGTTACCAGCTTTTCTGTCATCTTTGTACGTTTTTGTATGAAATCACCAAATCACTGTACACCTTCAATATGTTCCCAAGGTCTCGTCTCTGTATGTGTGAAAGGGACGTCTAGTGGCACAAAGGATAGACATATCAGAGGAGAGTGGATGCAGACATGGTGGAATGCTTGGTGTTTGAGAGTTCTCCCAAATGGATTTTCTGGATTATCTTACAGCCCGTTTGGAAGGTTCAAAGTCAACAGTGAGGAGGAGGAAGAAGATGCCCTCACCTTATCTTCAGCAATGTGGTTCTCCTGGGGAGTGTTACTGAACTCTGGAATTGGGGAGGGTAACCAGATCTCCTGCTTTCCATTTCTGCCTTATTAGTCTACAGAGTGTTTGTACCATGAAGTGTGACATTGTGACATTATCAATGTATGCAAATGGCTGCACCATATGTTTCTGCTTCATCTTTTTTTGTAATTTCGGCTGAGTGTGTCTGATTGCATGTCTGACTGTGAACTCATTTGATCTGGTGCATTCAGGCACAGCTATTTCACTGCACCAGCTGCTGCCAGTGCATGCCCGTGCGCCTTGTGTGCACTGTGCCGTGAGAATGCATGAAAATGGGATGTTGGTGCACTCTCAGGGGCACCACGCAGCTTCTCAGCCCGGATCCTGGGCATGGTTTGGGCCGGCTTTGCCATGATCATCGTGGCATCCTACACTGCCAACCTGGCTGCTTTCCTCGTGTTGGACCGGCCTGAAGAGCGCATCACGGGCATCAACGACCCAAGGGTGAGACATTGTGTATAGCCCTGTGAAAAACGCACATATGCACAAGTCAGGAGAACTGTAGGTTAGGACAGGGGAAACTTACTGTACCCTCAGAATGTCACAGGTGTGGGAGCCAAACAATGTATATAAAATGGCCATTTTTCCTCTCTAAGTAAAATGAACAGAGAGTGAAGGAGAGTGGGACCATTGCTCCGGGCCTGTCTGCCTGTCTCCCCCACTCTCAGTCAAACACACATATAGCAAACCTATTTCATATAATTACTAATTGATTGCTAATTGATCCCCCTTACCCCCTAGCTTCACCCATCGCCCAAAACATCCAAAATGGCCCAACCCCCCCCCCCCTTACACTCATCAAGAACAGTATTCTGGCTGTTTGGTATCTAATATAATGGTTCAGCTTTTGAATCGATCATACAGTAGATGGTGTTGGTCTATGGCAGGGTTCCCCAGTTCCTGTCCTGGAGGGCCGGAACCCAACATAGTTTGCAGATTTCCTTGCTCGAATCCATTTTAACAGCTGATTAATAGGTTTAGTATGTAAGCTTGGACAGGGAAGTCTGCAGTCTGTGTTGGGTTCTGACCCTCCTGGACTGGAATTGGGGAACCCTGGTCTACGAACTTAAAGGAAAGTAGAAGATCTAAGCTGATACAGTGGGCAAAGAGTAATGGCAGGGGGAAGCATGGTAAAATAAACGTGACATGGACAGCATGTTTGCAGAGCATAAACATTAGTGGGAAACCGTCGTGCTCTGTGGCTGCCCTCCAGCTGCGGAACCCGTCCGACAAGTTCATCTACGCCACGGTGAAGCAGAGCTCGGTGGACATCTACTTCAGGAGGCAGGTGGAGCTGAGCACCATGTACCGGCACATGGAGAAGCACAACTACGAGAGCGCAGCCGAGGCCATCCAGGCCGTGCGGGACAAGTGAGTGAACGGGAGGGGGCGGCTAGCGGACCAGCCGACCGCCGGGTGACCTCGGGTGCGAGGCTGCAGGGATGTAGAGTTTCTGTCACGTTTGTGATACGTCTCATCAACCTGGGAGAGAAGCAGTAAGACATCTTAAAAGCATGTGAAGGGAATTTGCATATATTGACTCCTCTGCCCCCTGGTCTGTGCTTTGCACAGCAAGCTCCACGCTTTCATCTGGGACTCCGCTGTGCTGGAGTTTGAAGCCTCGCAGAAGTGTGACCTGGTGACCACAGGAGAGCTGTTCTTCCGCTCTGGCTTTGGCATCGGCATGCGGAAGGACAGCCCGTGGAAGCAGAACGTGTCTCTGGCCATTCTCAGGTCAGTCCCTGTCAAACCTGCATGCGCTGCCACATCTTTTTCGTTTCGTTTCTCTTTCCGTGTGGAAACAGTGGATCAGCTGCTTACATTAACTTAATCCCTGCAGCTCTCATGAAAATGGCTTCATGGAGGACCTTGACAAAACCTGGGTGAGATACCAGGAGTGTGACTCCAGGAGCAACGCCCCAGCTACCCTCACATTTGAGAACATGGCAGGTACGTTCCGTGCTATTTCGTCTTTTTTGACACAGAAGGATTCTGCTTTTCAATGGCTTCAATGCCCCATCACAAATGTCCAGGTAGAGATCTTCTCCTTTCGGACTGTAGATGGCGCTGCACATCTTACTTTGAATAAAATGGACCCAGTCAGTGCTTTGTGACTTTAAGCAGGACGACAGTGTGAAGCTGCTCAGGCCCTCAGCAGTAGGTCAGCGTGAATAGCACAGCGCCCCCCGATGGCTGACTGCCGTCTTCACACAGGCGTCTTCATGCTGGTGGCTGGGGGCATCGTGGCTGGCATCTTCCTCATCTTCATCGAAATCGCCTACAAGCGCCACAAAGACGCCCGGCGGAAACAGATGCAGCTGGCCTTCGCGGCGGTGAATGTCTGGAGGAAGAACCTGCAGGTATGGCTGCCGCAGAGGAGGGAGTGAGCTGGGCCGGTGACAGTCTGGCGTCACCTGACTGGGCCGGAGCCACACTTTTAGGACGTCTCTGAGCATTCGCTCTCTCCGCTCCGACGCTGAGGTTATAAGCCGACGAGCGTTACCGAGTGTAAATGGTGTAGGATATGTCTGGAGATACTCCAGCAGCTACAGCACAGGGCGTCCAGCGGTTTGGTCCCAAGCAGACCAAACCCCTCCAGCAGTATTTTGGTCCAGAATCAATTTCAGGTGCTGTAGACCAGCCCATCTTACTCTTGAAATAAATGCCGCGTGTCTCTTCCTTTACCAAATGCATCGCGCTTGTGTTGCTGATTGCTGTGTTAATTTTAAAAACATTCAAAGAAAAATCAATATAGCTTATTTAAATAATTCATGACATTTGATGATGATTTAGCTGTCGGCTAAGTGTGTACGTAATAGACATCAGGGAAATATGTTTTATATAATAGAATTTCTCCGTTACCTTCTGACATATGTTGAGCCTGATACATGTAGATGGACTGAATGTGAGGGGTAATTCAGTCCTGATTTACAGAGGAGAAGCTTTACTGGGGCCTTTCAGGGAACAGGTGTTGTTCTTTTCATCCACCCACTTTGTTTTCATGGATGGGTGGGGGGGTGGTATGTGTGGGTCTTGCTTTTGGGCATGAGCCCATGTTCTCATTAATATTGATTTTGATCTTCATTTGTTATCCCTCAGTGCTCCTCGTGCCACTCGATGTGTCACTTAAATGCATTTTAATTTACATGAGCAAAAAAAAAAAAAAGTCATGGGAGGAATTATGGATGGTTAGGATACATGGCTTTTTACAGAAAACCATGTCTTAATTCCCTGCATAATCACTCTGTGGATGGCTTTCCATATCACGTGACATCCACTCCCTCTCTCTGTCTGCCAAAAGCAGAATTTCTCTCTGACTCCTTCTCATTGCCTTCTGCTGCTAAAGCTTACTGAATAGGCCCCCTTCTGCTAACCCCCCGCCCCCATGCCTGGCCATGAGCCTCAGCAGCAGGGAGGAAGACAGGGCCCTGTCTCTACTGGGGAGTCTGGGGCCATTCCCAGCAGTAAAGCGCTGTAAGGCTGTGATGTTGCCGCGGTGCCGGCCAGGTGCATGCTGGGCCGTGCTCTTTTCCGAAGAGTGCTGCTGCTGTGAGTCGCAGAGCCGCCGCTGGCAGGCAGGGGTCGCTGTCTCCCGTCTGTGCGGGCAGATCCGTGTCCACGTGGTGCGACGTGCGTGGTGATGCCTCACATTGGAGAGGCAGTGGGACGGCCCCTTGCTCTCCGGCCCCGGTGCGGTTCCCCGTTCCCCGTGCATCTTGAGCACCGTTGTGGCTCAGATGCAAATGCCGTTTGCGAGCTCGGGGAGCCACGCAGAATAAATGTGCCCGTACTCAGAGCTGTGGCTCAGGCAGACGGCGGCATGCGTGGCACCGTTATCTACATGCATAAGTAAACGAGAACATGCACCAGAATGCATATAAGCAGTATTTTCTGACATGTAAACTGGCTGTTCTGTAAAGAAGAAAAAATAAACATTATTTATGCGGCACATTAGAAATACAATCAGTGTCCATGCATTCTAATGTCAGGATCCTATTTGTAGTATAAAAACGAGCATATAGTAGGATTTCCAAAATGTTTGAAGCATATAGATGTTTTGCTGTATAAAATAATTAATCAGGTCCCCATAAAGCACATGTACTATGCGTATAATATGTGTTTCTGAGAGACAGTACCTTGCATTTAAAGCACGACATTGCTTTGTTTGTGGGCAAACATTGTCCACGCAACATGGGATTGGCAGTAATGAATGCGACTACAGGCATGACCTTTAAATCCAGTTACACTTTCAGATGATAAACTCACTTGTGAGGGATATTTCGGGAACTGGGAGCACTTCAGGGGCGAAGCTGTTGCCACAATTTGCATATAGAACCTCCTACTTGTGTGGAAGGCTGAGACCTTTATGCAAGAGACACCTGCCGACCGGCCACCCACGAATCCAAGGTCAGCATCACGCAGCCTAGATGCTGCATCCAGAGATCTGCAGTCAGGTGTTGTTTACTGTCTTATTAGCTTTGTGCTCAGAGTTGACTGAAAAGATGAAAACAATATGGTTTACGTTATAATATTATAAGAATTTTTGACAGTAATATTATAATATTATAAGAGTTTTATCCAGAACAAAAGACCAAAGCATTTCATACTATAACGGTGTTATAGGACGTGTTCATTCACATTCCCTGATGAGCACATGAGCACCTTCCATCCTCCACCCTCCATCTCGGTGGCTCTCGACAGCTCACACAGTCACCAATGCCCCCACAGACTGCTCCACCACTGGGGATAGATGTGCCTGGGCTCTTCATCCTCTCCCGCCAAGTGGGCTGCTTGTAAACCGAGCGTGAAAGGTCAGGTGTAGGCTGGCTGCAGTGCTGGCTGCAGTGCTGGCTGTTATTTGCAGTGCTGATCAGAAAGGGGGGGCGGCATAATGTGCCTGGGGAAAATGGGAGGGGGGCCCGGCAGCGGGAAGGTGGTGGGAACACAGGTGTAGCCTGTCAGTATCAGCCTGGGTTTTACTTCTGAAATCCCGTGGGTGCATCTTGAGGCTCAGGACAGCCTTATTCCTGAAATCATCCAATAAAAATGTCCTTTCCGAATCTTTGCCAGGGTTATGACGTGTGATGTGACTTAAGATTTGAGAGTCAGGAAACGCTAATGCGAACGATCATCGCTCCAGGATAGTACATTTAAACTGGATATAAATAACTTTTGTCTGACTGCATTTCTTTCCTGTAGGAGCTGGTTGTGTTATTTGACTGTAAAGACAAAATGTGCATTTGTGGCTAATGTGTTAATAATGGAGAAATATAAAGAAAATATGGAGTGTTCTTAACAATATGGGGCTGTTGTGTTACCTTATATGATGTGTTATCTGGTGTTCAATGTGTGCTGTACAGGCTAACGTCCTGTTGGTACCTATCTTACTTGAAGGTTTTGGAACAATATACTTCATTTCCTGGCCGCTTCTGTTTTTCTCCACTGGAGAAAAAGACCTGGAGTCTGCTCTATTTGTGACAGACAAAACGAGTCAATGGCATCTTTCAGGTTAGGGTCACAAATGAATCGAGTTTCCTAACAAACGAAGAGCTGTCTGCCACACCGGGAACAAACTGTTTTTCATAAAGGTTGCAAAGAATAAGATGAAGGGGTGAAATTGGGATTAAACCCTGGCCTGCCTTTACCATAAGCTGCTACTGAGTACAATGTGTAACAGGGACTGAAAGACCCAGGTTAGTTTCCAAGACAACAGTGGAGAATAAGCAGGCTATACGTGGGCATTGGAAGTGCTGAAGTGAATTTTGTCTTGTTAAACTGGCCCATGTCACAATGTTGTACCTGCATGTCTTTTTGCAAAACCCTCTGGCCAGACTTATCCTGGAGTAATACATTCCTTTACTCTGTATGCCACAGATCTATGACCATAAACTGCAAATAAATTAATATGCCATTCATGGATCCTGTCTTTGTTACAGAGAGTAAAACCTTCCAGTTGAGAGACGTAAGAAACGTAAGCCCAGTGGGACGATTGTGACATAGGTGGACGGTCATGTCATTCATTCTGCTTCTCTATTGCTGCATGTCTTCTGGTGGAATTCACTCTGTCTCTGCCCTCCTCCAACCTCACATTCTCTTCACGTGCCCCTGACCCCCCCACTTCACCGTGTGGGATGGATTTCTGGTACAACTAAAGTCCTGCATTAGTTGTAACATTTTTTCATTTTTTTTGCTCAGTTAGTGATTGTAGCCTTTGCTTGATTCTTGATTCTGGCCTTTACTTAGTTTCTTTAGTTTTCTTTGTACTTTTTTTGCTTTAAAATTTTAAGGGAAGGGAAACGGGGGCCACGCTTATGCGTTTCCCTTTCAGTAGCCTTGGTATAAATGCACCCCACCCTTTACACTCTCTTCATTGCTGCCTTCCAAAACCTTAAGAGTTACTACCAGAGCAGGAGGCATGTCCCATGTGACTTCTAGCTCTTTCATAGTTCTTTGTAACAGAGCAATAAAGGGAGGAAAGGAAGGGAATGAGTGCATTGCCTTTTACGTTCTGTCAATGATGCCACCTAAAAACGTAAAGAGCGACTGCAGGCCCCCGACTAGGCTTTCCGGGACATGCACAAGACGCGAAATGGGAAAGTGTTCAATTTTTGCCAGATAAGTCATGCATGCTTTCAAGTCCTACACATTGTGGAGGAGCTCTGATTGGGGTAATATCAGTAATGGGTAAAAGTCAGGGACAGTAACCTCTGGATGGGAGGGGCACAGGTGTATTACCCTGTAATGGATGTCTTACTTCATTTAGGGTCTTGTGAGAACTACAGCGGACTCCTGAAATGTGAGTGTGGGCTCCTTCTTTCACTATACAATGAGAGAGGTGACAGTTGGGGTCCCATTGTGCTTAAAGCTGAGACATGAGTGAGAAATGGGACATTTTCTGCCCATTTCTGAGCCTTGAGATCTGATGGCCACAAAAAGACCCTCAAAGACCTCTCTGGTCAAACCACCTGGGCAGGCCTGGCAAGGGACAGACTGGCATTTTGCTGTGCCCCTTCTGGATGGGGCGCCTTCCAACCCCAGACCTAACAGGGGGAGATAGTTGGGGGGTGGGACACTGCAACGAAATATACTCCACTGGAGAACGTAAATAATTTTTCTACATATATATTTATTTTAGGATAGGAAAAGTGGTAGAGCAGAACCCGACCCCAAAAAGAAAGCCTCTTTTAGGTCCATCAGTACCTCCCTGGCCTCCAGCATCAACAGACGTAGGTCCTCCAAAGACACGGTAAGGAGATGAAGATAATTACACCCCCCCTCTTACCCTCTTTCTGTCTTTTCCCCCCTACAATCACTGCTTTCCTCCCTGGCTGTCTCCCTCTCTCAGCCTCCCCCCCCCCCCTCTCTCTCTCTCTCTCTCTCTCTCCTGTCATGCCATCTTTACTGCCAGCCGCCTCCCATTTCAGCGCTTTGTCACTCTCACACATGGAGCTTGTGTCCCAGCCACGTGTCTGTCTGTCAGCCATCTCTGCACCATCCAGACATGTGTCTGAAAAGAGCCATGAGAGTAATGGACAGCAGGTCTGGACAGGCCTGAGACGTAATCTACAGGAAGCGGGCGGCACTTCTGAGGCAGGGAGCGCTGGCTTGTCTCTCTCCGGCTAGCCCGGCTGTGGTTTCCCTGTTTCCTATCTCCCATTTCTTGTTGTGGTGCCACGCTCTCGGGATTTAATGACGCCTCTTATTCAGTCGCAGGGTTTCCCTAAATCCCAATTCTGTGCTGCTTTTGCCTTTTCCCCCCTAAAGGTTTTTCTACTTGCTACTTGTACCAGAGAACATAACCAGAAGTTATACTGACAGTATTCAGCATCTCAGGGAAACTAACTCCCCAGTTTTTTTCCAGCTGACTTTATTTCAGGATTATCATGTCGATTTACTTGCTGCCACATCACCGCCTAAAAGCCCCCCCCCCCCTCCAGTTTTGTAATCATTTTATGTAATGCTTTTGAATTGCACAGCTTTAATTAGGCTTGTACTTGCAAGTGGATCTGTTTGGATAGGTGCTGCATGTCATATTTGTGGTTTGTAATCCATTGTTGATTTTATTGAAAACAAAAAAATGTCTAAAATGCTACACCCACCAAGAGTCTAGAAGCCCTGCCCTTTCAACAGCCTTTTATTCTCTGACAGAACGCAGATTTCAGCACAGGGTTGAAATTAATGCTGAGTCACGCTGCAAATGATGAACGAGATATTTCACATAAGAAGCGCATTGTCCAAAGAGAACTCCACGTGTCTCGTAGATTCCGTCAAAGGCTGGAGTGGCAGTCTCTCCCAGGACCATAAACGTGTAGTGACATATATTTCCATTTTTATAATTTGCTTTGCATGCAATCCTCTAGGTTTCTTTCTAGGTGGTTTACGTCTGACAGCTGTTCCAGAATCGCCTTTCCTTCCTTCCGTTTTCCCTGCCATGTGTCAGAATGTCCCCTAACAGGAATGTCCTTGATTCATTGTTTCTGGTAGATGGGGAGCACAGTGCTGGCCCACGATCACACCCCCTTTGAAGCTTTAAAAACACACATGTAAAGGCCTTACAGACTGGACAAGCTAATGCAGCTCTAGTCAGTGACTGCTGGGAAGAGACACGGCGTTCAACCCAGAATCAATTTGAAGGAGTCCGTGGTGTATAGACTGAATTGGACACCAAGAAATAATTATGTTTGAGAGTTATTCTCTCTCACTCTTAATGATCTAAGTGTCAGTCTTGGGTTATTGGTAATTAGATCTTAAGTGGATGAAAGTGTCACAGTTGAAAGTCGGAAAGTTCTCAGCAGATGAGCTAGAATATTAAAAAATTTCTGAAGGGCAGCGTACTCATGTTCAGCTGCAGCCATTGTTTTACTTTATATCACTGTTTACTTTTATAAATGGATTTCAATGGATTTTGAGTGTTGGTGTCCCCACTACATGCCTGTATTCTATCTCCCTCTGCCAGCATGACTGTTGGGGCTGTGGTAGAGTAGACTTCTGTTTTGCTGTTCACCTGTTTCTCAGCAGGAGGCGCTGTGGCCTAGGACCCCTGACAAAGACCGGCCTCATTGCCACAGATTTCACAGGATATAAAAGTACTCTGATGCATCTCCCCGCCAAATAAATTTGTTTTTCTCCAGTGAAGTTCCTGTCCTTTGGGGCTGAAGGGACACAGCTACATATTATACTTTTCCACAAAACCTCAGGTCTGTTCTTACAAATTGTTAGCAAATGGCTGGTAGATGCATCTTAGCTGCTTTTAGAGGTAAATATAATATAATAAACTTTTTTTAAAAACAAGTCATACATACGAAACACCAAACCCTTTTCAAAATCCATTGTTTAGCATTGTTCAAAATCATCATATGCTAAGAACTGAAAATATGAGCAATACAGTTGTGTTTTCTTTGTAGGTTTTTTATTTTGAAAAATTCATCGTTTTGGGGGTGTGGAAAGAATACAGAGCTACATTTCAATTAATGCCTTTAGTGCAACTGACAGTTAATCATTGTGTTGTGTAAGATTTAAAAATTCTATATGAGAGATCAAACTAAACTTTTGCATTGAAAAATTTGATCACCTTTTGTAAACACTGTATACATATATGTACACATGCTTTATAAATCAATGTCCTGATTCAAATCAAGTGTATATGGTTTATATATTTATTAATCAGCTATATTCGATTTGCCAAATGTCACTGATGATCACCACAAAATGACCTCTTGTTTATTGTAATCCAAAATATGCAGAGTCAGTAACACAGGAAAGACTTTTTTTAGGAGCTATTAGAGCCGGACATTACAAAGAGCTCCTTTTGTGTCCTTTTCATCCATTAAAATATTTATGGCTCAAGATTAAAACAGAAGACACAAATAAGTATGGCTTGATATAACATTTTTGAATTCATTAAGATCAGAGATTTTCTTTGCTTCTTTTCTGTAAATTCAATGAGACTGTCTCCATAGTGATTGCACATCAGCACTGGGAATTTATAAAGTTTGCATTCGGAATGCTTTATTCAATTACCTCCTAAGTGAATAGAAAACCAGCAATATAACTCGTCCTGAGGCAGGTGAAACCGGCCTGATTGGTAATCATGATGCACTGTTCAGTTCTTACCAAAGAGACCTCGATTAGCCTACCAATTAGATCATTGGAGGTTGATCAACAAATGTTGGTGTTATTCTTTGGATAAGCAGTCATTTGTACTCCTACACTGCCTGCTCTTTGTGGAGGAGAGTTGGGGCTTTTAAAATCATTTTAAACTGTATATTTATTTCAAATAAATCCTTACAGAATTATTAAAATTCCATGTTTTATATGTCTTTACCCTTGCAGCCCTACCCCACAGACATCACGGGCCAACTGAACCTCTCAGATCCGTCGGTCAGTACAGTGGTGTGAGAGGGGGCCGGGAGAAGCCCAACACACCCCCCCTCCCCCACAATGCCCAAGCGCTGCTGAGCCATCTGAACCCCTGAAATGAACACGCATCACCACGCCTGGGTCAGTCCAGAGTGATGGCCCATCTGGGCTGGGTGCACAAAGCGGCACGCCAGAGCACTGGCCACACCCACTGCCCCCCCCCCAGAATGAAGCCCAACCCAGGAGAGCAACAGCCCATATACATTCACTTCAACCTACTCCAGATGTTATAACTGTGTGTACATTAAGTGTTAAACATGTATATGACATTTCTTTGTACGAAATGGATCAAGTTTGATTAGATCAAATGAATGAAGTACTCATTTTGATTTAAGAGAAAGCACTGCTCATGACAGTATAGCTACGTAATTTATTTGGAAATTTGTGTTATATCTATCATTTAATTTATATGTCTTACTACCTCCATATTTAAATACATTTTATTTTAGATATTTAACCTATTTGATACACTATATAAGTAATATATTTTGAGTGTGTCCCATTTGCTAATTTGAAAAGGTTTTAGTAATGAGATTTGTGCAATATGTATGACATCTCAAATTATAACGTTAAAAGGAGTGTGGAACAGAGTAAATCCATAGCTATTAACTATATGAGCTCTGTTGATACAGTAGCCTCCTCTTACCTAATTTTAGGGCATTTTTATACAATTTCCCTTTATTCGGCTGCTTAGTGCAATTTAGTGCCATTTTAACAAAATTATTGCGTTTTGGATTTAATTACAATATAATAATTATTGTTATCATGCCATATCCAATGGTTTTTTATGTAAGTTTGGCACATAATATTTGCATAATACCTCTGGATACATAAGTTTGTTTCCAAAGGGGATTTTACTATATAATATTTTATATACATATACGTTACCTACTGTTGTTTTATTTTAGTACTTGGTTGTTGTATTAATACAATTTGCTATATGTTATTTCTCATCTATATTGTTTTTCTGCATAATGAAAACTTTATGATTCCTTTTATCTAGCCCCCATAAAAGTACCACAATTTTCCTTTAATTAATGATTGTTTGCCGCTCACATCAACCACAAAGCGCGAGAAAGTCTTAGTCAAAGTAGTTAAGGGCAACAAATGAGTTTGATGTCCAGTATTTGTACTGTGCTGTAATGTACAAAAATTAGCTGGATGAAAAACAAGCAATTTGCTAAGCTGTGAATCTAAGAAACTTTCACTGCCTAATACATCTTGTCCACAGACCTGACGCAGCATCTTGACAGAGACAAGGTCCACTGTAAAATGCTTTTGTTTCGTCTAGATATTATGAAGGCTTTGCTAATTCTTGTGACAATAAATACATTGATATGAATATCTGTAAATATTATTTGAAGTAGACAATGTTTACATGATTACTTTTATTCTGTGAGCTGGAACACATTTAAATAGGTATGTCAGCTTCTACCAACACATAGATGTCATATTACAGTCATTACACTTAATAATAGTGCTTAACCCTCCTACCCCTACGTTAGCAAGAAGGATCAATGAATTAACTTGAGGGTTTTTTATTACTATGAAATAACCAAAATGTAAATGTCTTACATTTGTTACAGAAATACTTGAAGTATGAGTTTAATTTCTGCATTTCATTTTGAACAGCATTTCTGGAATGAGGGGTACTGTGAAAGGAGAAGGTTAGGATGATTCCAAGGGCCCCTGAGTGACAGGGGCCCCAAAAAATCTGGAACATAATTGGACTGGTCTGGGTTGGGTTCAATATGCTGTGATTTCATGGGATGCTAAATCTGCAGCTGCGTCTCTGTGTGGAATGAATGTTTTTATTTGGCCATTGTGGATGATTGTTGTATTTCTGAAAATTACAAGTGTAACCCGTAACAGGCCTCACAGAACAACTGACTGCTTGGTGTTTTGGGAACTGAAGTTAGCATATCAGAGGAGGTGATATACCTGAAACTTTATTTATATATTACTTTGGGATGTAGCGATATTGCTAAAGTTCAGCTTGTTTGTTGTTAAATAGTCTGTGCCAGCAATGTGTTTTTATACATTTAACATCTCAGTTTTAACAATTAAAGTCATATTTGTGTGTAAAAGCAAATGACAATTATAATCTTAAGTGAGAGAGATACCTGTGCAGTGACATATTTCAACGGAGCTGACTTTCCACAATGATATTTATCAACATCAACTCTTATATACTCCGTAATTGTGTGCATTTATTCAGGACTGGAAAAAAAGAAAAACAAAAACCTTTAAGTAGACTTGCCTGAAACTGTAGTTATTTTTACTTACAACTTTTATACATTTGTGGAAATCTGTCACAAAAAAAGTAATTTGAAATATTTGGATTCCATCCACCATATATTCATAAAACAGAGGGCTTGTGAGCACATGTGTTTTGTGTGTGCAAGTCAGGATGTGGGGCTGCTTTGCTAGTTATTTGGTGATTTTTATGAAGGTCTTGTCAAGCAAAATTGGTATCACAGAATACATGAAAAGTATTCCATTCCAAAAGGATTAAGGCAAATAGAACAGTCTTTCATACTTCGGCAAGATACCCATCTAAGACAACACCTCAATACTACAGGACTAATCTGGTGAAGAAGGACAATTCAAGCTAATGACCTGGCCTGGCCCAGTCTCCAGACCTCAATCCAGACTGGCCAGAATAGTCGAGCCTAACCCAAAAGTAAACCTTCACCACTGGGAATTGCTGCAGAAGAACAGTGAAGACATGCCAGGTAATTTCCTGCTAAAATTTGCTGTGAAAGGAAATCTTAAGGGATCCAAGATTATCCAAGACTGAGGGACAATTTAAAATTTTCCTGAACATTGCTTTATTTTGTATATTATATTTTTATCTCATGCACATACATACAGGTGTTGGACGATGAAACTGAAACACCTGGTCATTAGTGTGGTTTCACACCTATAGATGCACGGCCTGGTGGCTGATCTTCACTGATTGCACACTCCATCATCAGTGTTTCCCCCAGGTTTACAGTTTTCGGGGGGGGGGGATTCATGGTGTTCATGCGTTTCTTTTCTTGACAGCAGTCAATATTACAACTGAACTAAGCATCACAACATTGAGTTTTATGACAATTATTAGTGTGCAGCTTTTGTCACTGCAGTGTATCTTTCCGGGCTTCTGGAAGAACATTTCTAAAGCCTCTTGATATGGGAAGTCAGAAACGTCTGGCCCATTTACTGAGATCCGCATGCAGGCTGCAAGATGGTCTCCTTGCAGCCTTTTGTGGATGTTTGTCTTGACCTGCAAATGCATTAACTGTCAGACTTTAAAAGTGATAGCTGATAGTTTAAAATAGTGATAGTTTAAAGCAGAAAATCCCATTGTGAAACGTATTTATTACCCTGTTCATGGTTGAGAAGTCCCTCACAATTTACACTGCTGACCGGGCGGCTGACGCGACATATTTTCCGACGCGCACTCTCTGTCCGCTGGTGGGAGTGTGCTCACCTGTGTGTACGCGCACGTCTCTGTGCGCGTGCATCGGGGCGGAACTCCGCCACACGCGATACAGAGCAGAGGAGAATTATAAATGCGCGACCGTGTAGAGACAAAAATGACAGGCTGTTGTGTAAATGATATAAATAACATAAGGCTATTTAGTTTGTTTAATAAAATGACAATGTATAGACGTGTTCTATAGGAAAGGTAACCTTAAATGACGTCTGTTGTCATCTGGCGCTATATAGAAAATAAAATTAAATAAAATGAACTTGACCTTCAAAGGGGGGCGGGAGGTGCCGTTGGGGGGGTTGGGGGGCGCCCGTTTAATATAATGATAGGGGAAACACTGATCAGCAAGAGTGTGAAGGTTGAGTTTGCAGAGCGATAGCACATCTGTGCATAAAATATTGCAGTTCGCACAACATAACGGGAGACATATCAGTGTTCAACAGAGGAGCACTGTTTTGTCATTTATCAAGAGCCACGGTATCCAGAGTAATGTCGACATACCACCACGAAGGACGGACCACATCCAACAGGAGTAACTGTGGATGCAAGAGGAAGCTGTCTGAGAAGGATGTCCAAGTACTACCCTGGATTATATCCAAAAAACATAAAAGCACTGCCACCCAACTCACTGCAGAATTAAATGCGTACCTTAATTCTCCTGTTTCCACCAAAACTGTTCGTTGGGAGCTCCATAGGGTCAATATTCACGGTCAGGCTGCTGTAGCCAAAATTTTGGTCACTTGTGCAAATGCCAAACTTTGGTTTCGGTGATGCAAGCAATGGAAATTTTGGGATGTGGTCAATCTGAAACTTGTATTGTCCTCTGATGAGTCTACCTGCACTGTCTTTCCCACATCCGGGAGAGTTACGGTCTGGAGAAGCTCCAAAGAGGTTTGGGCTGAAATATCATGGCATTCCCTAGGCCCGCTACTGATTATAGATGGATGCGTCACAGCAAGACTGGTGAGAGAGTGGGTTGATGAACATGATGGTGAAGCTGAACATCTCCCAAGACCTGAACAGTCACCAGATCTGAATGTTATTGAGCCACTTTTGGGGTGTTTTGGAGGAGCGAGTCAGGAAACGTTTTCCTCCCCCAGCATCACATAGAGACCTGGCCACTGTTCTGCAAGAGGAATGGCTCCAAATCCCTCTGGCCACTGTGCAGGACTTGTATTGCTGTACTGGTCGCAAAAGGAGGTCCTACACCAGGGGTGGGCAGCCTTATCCGCAACGGGCCAGTGTGTATGCAGGTGTGTATGCAGGTGTTTATGCAGGTGTTTATGCAGGTGTTTATGCAGGTGTTTATGCAGGTGTTTGGAATAACCTTTAGGTCCGCTGTTCAAACCCAGGTATGAGGACTCTTCAGCCAATCAATCCTCCAAATAGTAATTTAATTAGGGAGTTGCAGAGAAAATCTGCAAACAACGGCCCTTTCTGGATGAGATTGCCCACCTCTACCCTATACCATACTAATAAATTATTTGTACTAAAACCAGGTGTTGCATTTTAATTGTCCAATCCCTGTACTGTGTAAGATAAAACATTATGAAAAACATGTACTGAACATAAGTATAAAACATACATTTAGATACAAATAATAACTTTGTTTTACCTTTAACTTTTCATATTTGTATGGGAATCAGTACTCTGTACAGGACTTTCACAATGGTGTTGACCTGAGAGTTACCACTAAAGTTTGAAAACTGAGGACTTTCAGAAGAACAAAAACATCTGATGTCCACCATTTTCTTGTTTTGTCAGTTGCTCATGTTGCTGCTCCGTGACCTAACCTGCGGCGAGCTGTACCCCACCGAAATGCCAGACAGCGATGTTCGTGTGTGCCTCCACATTCAGCGGCTCCACCAACTCCCCTGTGAATAGTTCTGTTCCTTTGGGATTTATTGTACTCTTTGATATACAGACAATAGTTTTTTTTTCTCAACATAATTCTACACTGTGGATTAAAACTAGCATTTCACAAATTGCTGGAACAGATTGTAGGAGCCTCTGATAACTTGTGGCTGAATCAAGTTAATAGAGGGGGGGTTTCTAGAGGACATCAAACTCATATCAGTCCTGGGTCAAGGTTTCAAACTTGAACATTTTACTCAAGGCAGATATAAAATGCTGCGTTAAGCTACAAGTGGTTGTATCCCCCATTTAAAGATTTCAAAGCATATCATCGCCAAGATTAGCCTTTTTGGGTTTTTCCATTTACGTTTTTGTATTCTTACACAATGTCCCCTGTAAACATTATCATTACTAATTAATTTTCCATGACTAGACCTACATGTATACATGATGCTCCAGTTTAATCAAAATGTTTCACTTGGAGCCTAAATACTTCACATTCTGTGTCTCTGAGGGAGTTACACACCACCCCCCCCCCCCCAGCAGATTAAGCCCCCACTAGAAAACAAAATCCTTTACGATCCATTAGAAACCTCATCTGCGTAAATCAATGTTTCAGCTGCGCAATTGGCTGCCGTTCCAAGCCGCAGGAATTATTTTGCTTTATGTAAAGAAAAGAAGAAAAAAAACCCACAAAGGTCAGACTGCATCCTGAATCCTTGCATTAAGTGAAATATTTTGAATCATGGAGCTGCAGTTTTACTTATTTCTTTTAATATAATATCTAGTTTAATATCCAGACCGTCACACCAGAGGAACTGCTAGGTTTGGTCCTGCTGGCCCCACAGTCAGCTGGGCATGAATCAACTGTTGGATAAATTGGCAGTCAGTTTCAAATCAGATACAAATGAAGAAATCTCCTAACATTTATTAATTCGTAACTTATAAACAGATAGCAGTTAAATCCAGTGCATATTTATCTGGGCCTGTGTACATTTAAGTAAGAATCAAGGACTTTAAAAATATCTTATACGAACAATAACGCATGCTATATATTTTGATTTCTTACGTCCACACAGATGTTAATGAGGTAATGAGTGGTTAATTCGTTAACCAGCCTGTACTCCTTCTCTGGGGGGGGGGGGGGGGGGGGGGGGGGCAGAAGGCCGAGCGGCAGGTCACCTTCATACTGTGGGTCTATCAGTGAAACGTTACCCACCAAAATAGACTATGGTTGCATTATTCACTTGCTTTTCTGTTCATTCTTGTGCAGCACAAGCAAACAAATAATCCTGAGCAGTAGATAAATTGGAGTTTCATCACCAATTCATTCAGACATACTTGAAACATTGATAAATGATAAATCGAAAAATGGTTTCGTATCTCAAAAATTGTCTTCTTATATTTTTTATGTATAACTCAGCCGGTTACTTTGTTGTTAAATGTTGTATCTTCTGGGCAGTCTGAATGAAAGCACTTTTATGGTTTCAATAGAAAAATGGTTAACAGTCAAACCTGTCGTCCAAGGTTACCGAGACATGTCAGCAGCACACTGACCTCATGTATAAATAGATTTTACTATTTCCTAAAAAGAGCTGCAACAGTCAAGGATACCCATGTTTATCTGAGTATAACGTGATCAGATACTATAACAGTTAAATCACATATAGTTTCTAATATGATTTATTTACATTTGTAGGCCTATATTATATTAACAAACAAAAAACGAAACAGCCAAACACGTCAAACAAGGCTGTTTCTCCTTTAAAGGCCTTAAGACTTCCCGTACATCTGACTGCAGGTGTTAAGGACATCACTCACTCCATCATGCCATGTCCAACCCAGCGGAAAAACCAAACATATCAATGTTAATTTTCACTCCAAACGATTGAGCTTGGTATGTCAGCAAATGCTTATAATTATATTTACCCACTTTCCCTAGAAGACAAACGAACATAGCATTTATCTCCAAAAGTAGCCTCTTTAAAATAGAATTCATGTAAACATGTAACACCCCACCCCATAAACTCTTATTCTATTATGCTGCATACGTATTTCTGTAAAAGAACTGACTTTTAATTGGATATTGAAGTGCTGTTCAAACTGTACGCTTTTCAAAGTTGATGTTCTAAGCAAATGAAACATGTGAAGACCTGCCAGTGTTTATCGGAGTATCCAGGTCCTATAGGTGGTTTTTCTAGTTTCTGTCGTTCTTGTATTCATGCAAGTTAACAGCCTGAGGATTATACATTTATGTCAATGATTTATGTCGATAGTAAAGGGGTGGAAATGCATATGAAGCCATCAATTTCATATATTTTGAGATTTCATATACCTTGCGTTTGCTTGTGTCTTATTTAGATTTGCCGCTGCTTAATATCTAACCTGTTAAACTCGCACAATCAACCAAATAAACGAGTCCAAAAATAACCCCTGGCGACGCCCCCTTCACCTGAAGGCCGGCAAACCTGCAGGAGGGACTCCGCCTCGGGGGCCGGCAGACGTCCGAAAGCTGGCGGTGACCGGCAGCCCCAACCCTTTGGTGTCGTGCGGTGAGAATAAAGCGCCCTTTGTTTATATTAAGGAGTTTGCATATAACCTGAGAAATACGAAATCGAGGATCCGCCTGGATATTTACTTCCCAAGGTATGTCGTTACACTTTAAACCGAAACTTCATTTGCATAATAAACTAGTGAAAAAAAGTTTGTGCCTCTCCTGCTGGGTTCCCTCTGGTGCTCCGGAGTCCGGACCCCCCACGGCACACTTCCGGCGCCACACCAGCCCGGGTCCGCGCTGTCATGCATGGCCATCTGCATTTATAATGTTCAGACTTAAGTTCCCCTTGTGGTTAGTAAAAAAAAAAATCACCAGCATGACTGTCATTGATTATTGTATTACTCTACTTCTTTAGATACAGGTTATTGAAATAGCTTGAAACGAAACCCTTTTTATTGCTCGGTGTGGGACTTCCGGGCCTGGAGATATAAAAGTAAACGGGATTTTTTGCAACATACTGAAAACCTCTTAAGCAATCACTCAATAGCACGTATGGCAATATGCGGCGTGTTACCACAGTAACTGCCCAGTGCTTCACAGTGTTTCTAAGGAAACAAGTTAAAAGGAAGGTTATTGTGCAGTTTCAAGCTCCTTCAACAATATGAACCTCTATGTTTGCTAAAGTACAGTGATTGTTGTTCAGAAAATCTGTTTTAGATTGTATTCTTTAAACCTAGAATTCTTTTAGTACTGTGCATTAACATAGTATTATTTTAAAATGTGAAATTTTGATGTGAAAATCACATCACAGTAATGGATTTATTTGTAAGTAATGTGAAGCAGTGGGTGGTGTTTCTCGTGTGTCCCTGCTGTGGTTTTTCCAGTTTCTGCCGTTCTTCTGTTCATGCTAGTTAACAGCCTGAGGATTATACATTTACAGGACCCTGGTGTGGGCCATTTTTTTTCCAACAGTTCTTGAGCGATGAGTGAAGCAGAGAAGGGGGTTTACAGAGGGCTTGATGAAGAAGGAAAGGTTCTCGTCTGCGATCCCCCTCACTCTCTGCTGAAACGGTGGCTGCGGCATTACCGGGAGCGCAGATCCTCGAGACGGGACGGCGAGGTTGACCCTCAGCCTCGTTCCCGGCAGTGCCTGCTGTTGGCCACCTTCATCCTGCTGGCTCTGGCACTCATGGTGCTGCTCCTTCTCTGGAACTATAAATGCATCATCATAGAGAAGATGTGCAGCGGCCAGGAGAGCTCAATGTTTCCTCTGTTTGGAGATGGCGAGGAAAGTCACATGATGCAGAAGCCGGACTAAGGAGGCCGGGTGGCCTTTGCCCCTGCCATCTCTGCTCTGCCATCTACAATCTCGCTGCGCTCGGTGCAGTGCTTGCTGTTGCTATGTACAGTTCAGATCCAGTTACTAGGTTTCTACAGCTTGCTTCCTGTCAGCCTCATAGATTTGAAAGTAACTGATATGTGGACATTTCATTAATGCTGAAGAGTTGTCCATCCTTCAGCTCACTTGGAAAAGCCCACGACAGAAAATTTGCCTGATAGAACCAAACCTTCATATGGTGACACAGCTTATCACTGTAGATGAGCTGTGTCTCTTTCGACCATTGATGTAACACAGCAGGTGAGGATTCTGTGATTCGCGATAGTGACCCTGAAAAAGTCACCTTGGCTGTCTGATGTTTAAGGTACAATCGTGGCTCCACAATGGAGTGCCGTAAAAGATAATGTGCCCTTCAGTGCTTACATATCTGAATTAGCTACTTTAACATGTGTTGCTCTGCTTGGCAGCAATAGACCAGTGGCCTACGACCTTTTTTATAGTGCGAGTCAGTTTTTATGAAAAAATAATTTGGGGATTTACCAAGTCACAGCATTACCAACTGGGGGGGGGCGGGCACTCGCACTCAGTAGAGTTTTCTGATTGGTGGACAGCTTCCCTTACTCCCCCTAAGTAGGCTTGGCTGACGGGTGGCGTGGGGGTGTCACTATCAACTAGGAATGCTTTAGAGATCCACCAGTTGGCAACCATTTTAGACAAAAAAAATTTGGGTATCGACAAATTTGGGGGGAAAAAAATGTGTACATACATCAAGCTAATGGATATTAGGGAGAAAACTGAATGGCATGCAGATCTCCTTCTGAATAATAAGGTCTTTGGTTCCTTTGCTTCTATAGACAGACTGGTTTATCTAGACACTTATGTATGGCCTAACTGCAGTTTTTCTGCTGAAACACTTTTTAAACTTTGAATAAGCACATTTATACATTCTTCTGTATTACAGAATGTGAAATATATTAAAAGATATGTGTGTATCTGCTTCTTAGTCTGACACTTTTATCCAAAGGGACTCACATTTGAGGGAAGGGTTACAATTTATATCTACTCTTTTGGACCTAAATCCGCGATCTTTGCGTCATTAGTGAAATGCTCTGAAGTCGCTAACTAACATTGACCTCACAGAGTGTATCAGGCACTGTCCGGAACCCTGGCCGTATTAGTGACTATTTGTGAGTGAATGGTACTACTAGAGCGGAGACTTGGTGACAGTAATGACTTACATGGGATCATAGAATGTCTTATAAATATTTTGCAAAGGGAGAATGAATACATATAAATGCGACTGAAAAAAAAAAAATTTAAAATACAACAAAAGGGGCTCAAGTCTAAATAAGTGTGGAAAATGGTTATTACTAACGCAGTCTCTTTTTGTTGGTCCTGACAGTTTAATTCAAACAGTTTGATAAAAATGTATATAACGTCATGTAAACTGCATCGGAAGCACAATATCTTTCCAAGATTCTGCCACCAGAGGGAGATATAGCTCATGATGATAAGTCGCCCAAACCACGTTTTTATCGCAGTCTGGTTTACAGATATTTTTTATTGCTTGCATTTATATTTCAGTATTTGAAGCCCCACCTGTCATACAGAGTATAATTGCAGGTTCGATAGTTTGTGTATTTTTTTCCTTTTATTAATGCAGCCAGTTAATGCAATGAGCTATTTACAAGTAAATAAGTTAAATAACTGCAAAGGTATATTAAAAAAGAGAAGTACTGCTGCTTTCATTCTCTTTTACTGTTGCAATAAAAACAATGATTATGGTTGGTTTGCATATGTTAAATAAAGACCTAAATCTTGCCAATATGGGTCCCCTACTAATTTTTCCTTTGCTTTTCTGGTTACACTTTCATGTTATCTAAGCAAGGTTTCAGGAAACCAAATGAATGATAAATCCAGAATTTACAATGAATGCAGCAACATGAGTGATTCCTCCAGTAGACCCATGGGAATGAATGTAATTCTTATGAGCCGTCAGACATGAGAAAATCTGTACATGAAATAAGAGGCCAGATGCACCTCTGCGAAGCCGCTGAAGTGAGGAGTCCTGAGTAATGTCCTTGTCCTTCCGTGTCCTGGTGTGCGTGCATGCTTGAAAAGAGCCCATTTATCAGGCTCTGAGCAGTTAAATCTCAATGCAGGCCTGGCAGTGCTGTAGACGATGGGCAGTGAATTATCTCTGCAGTGTAGTCTGATGCAGGAAGCACTGCGAGGATGAACAAAAGCATGGGATTGAGCACTGACTGATGTATGTGTGCCAGGCCCGCAGCAAACAGGGCCGGGTGTCTGAGCATCTCCTGTGCTCAGCCATCAGGCCGTGGCTTGTCTCCTGTCTTGAGGCATATTTCAGGCCCTCTGGGCATGAACATGTCTGCAGTAGCAGGGGCTGCTGGGGCACACAAAGGGCCCGGGGCCCTCGGGGTCTAATGGGTCATCTGGGTCAGACTACTGGGACAGCAGAGACATAGAGCTTTTCTGTCTTGTGGACAGAAACGGTCGCATTCATCAAGAAGTCAGTCATTGTCAGAATTTCCCTCAGCCTTTAGTCGTATTGTGGATCAGGGGGGATCCCTCAGTCTTTGGGGGGGGTTGCTTTAAAGTGAATGATTCAAAGTATGAATATTGTAAAGAGTGTAACACATTACATAGTGAAGTCATTACAAAAAATGCACAATAACAGCAACTATAGTAAAAAAGTGGGTTGAAATATTTTAATTACACAGATGACTGTAATGATCAATTTTATGTCTTTTTATACTCACAATCATGCTTTTATATTGTTTAGAGAATAATTGATTATGTTACGAATAGATTCATTTAAGAAACTAGTTAACAACAGAGGTGAGGCATTGGGGGAATGTCTGCCATGTGGCGTTTTTGTAGGTAGGATTCCACATTGGCTTCGCTTTTTACCAGCTGGCTTTTATCATGAGTTTCAGAGCAAAGCTGCGTGTCTCACTTCTGGCCACAAAGCCAGCATTAAGCAGATTAGTATTCCACGACATGCTGCTGTACAACCTTGCTTTTCAATTAGCATAGCACGTCTGTAAACTTAAAAAGAACATAAAAACACAACAGGACAGTGAATTTTCCTCCCAAATAGTGAGTTTTCCTTCCAGTCGGTTCTTTATTGGATACTATAAAGGTGTACTGTGCACTTCTAATCTGTTACAAACACTCGTATGCCTTTCTGACTGTGGGAAAGAATCCATTTCCCTTAAGTTGTAGATGCAGGGCCAGGTTTTTTTTCTTCTTTTTCTTAGAAAATGGTGCTATTTTTCTCCCTGTCACTTGAACCATTGGTGGTTGTCTGAATCAAACGTTGCTTGTGAACGCCTGTCCCGCTACTCCTCTCTGACAACAGTGCACCATCAAAAGAAAGAGCACAGCCCAGGTACAGTTTTGTTCCCCAAGGTACAAACAACATTACATTATCCCCAATGATACAAACTGTTCATTTTCTCCATTTCTATACACTAATTTAGACTACAAGGTATAATTTATCTACAGCTAGGGTACAACTGGCAGACCCTTTAGGGTACAGCCCCAGTGACAAGTAATTGTACCCTCAAAGGTACAAATTGGTACTTTTTTTGACAGTGTAGCAGAAACTAGCCCTAGATTTAAATGTTGTGTTTGTGATGAGACCATCTGTTCATTGCAGCCGTATTTAGGCCTATAGTCCCTGACTACAGCTGTAAATAAAACCTGATTATATCACAGTAACATAGAAAAATAAATACAGACAGATCCAAATACAGGTTACAAGGGTCTTATTACTATACATGAATACATTAATATCTGGATTTTTTTTCTCTCGCTAAAATAGAATCGACTTGCGCTCAACTTGAGTTTCTCCTCTTCGTCTTCATTTGCTTTCTTGATCCAAGTTGAATATTGGCATCCATAAAATGAAATGCAATTTCAAAGGAGCAACGGAACATGAACACGATCCTCAACCAGAAACCTGTAAAAGTGTTAATATTGCACTATTTGTGGAGACCATCATTTAACGTAGTATTTTTATGTAGATTTTGTGTTTTTTCTTTATTTTTTATGTAAATGGTTCATGTTAAATCGATGCATTATTTTAATACATATATCTATTTATTTTATAATGATATTAAAACTCCTAGAAATTGTACCTTTGCCAAAACTATGCTACTTTTCAGCTGTCCCCTTAAATCGATGCATCGTACCTATTAAACGTTTTTTTTTTTAATGCCGTGCGTTTCGTGGTACGTGGTAAATGGCTGGTACAGCCCAGTCATCACCCTACTGCATCTCCGGATGCCTTGTTATCACGCCTATAGAGCTGCTGGCACTTACAACCGCTGCCTCATTCTGCTACTTCCCGGTCACAGTTTACCTCATGGGCAAGCAGTGGTGCCAGTTCCTTGCCCCGATTGTGCTCCTGTTACTGGGAATACTGGGAATTCTTCTGCTTGTTATTCCCATGGAAAATATGAAAGAGCCTCCGGACTATATGGTAAAATCATTTTAAATAATACATTATAGTAAAGTTAGCGCTGTGCAGCGAAAGCGGGAAGCGATAGGTGCGATAACCATAAATTAAATTAACTTATTTAGAGGAAGGAATTTGAGTGGATTTATTGGTGATAAAAAGCGTGTCGGCAAAGTTATTACTGACGGTTCTCTAGATATACGGAAGAGAACGACATTTTACGCTGAAGTTTGGTTACTTAGTACTGCTTATCTATACAGTAGCTTCCGGAGTATGGTGCAAAGTATGAAGATGCGTATTTAGAAATAATGGAAGAAGGCACTTTGAGAACACTAAGTTGTATTAAACGCCGCACAAGTCAGAGATTGCGCCGGCGATGAACTGCAATCGCGTCCAGGGCGCAGCTCCTTCGGACAGGATCCAGGCATCCAGGTTCACCGCGACCCTGCCCGGGGAGAAGCATGATGCGCACACCTACGGCGTTGGGGCGGTCGAATTTCACCTCTGCTCTCTGTGTGTGGAGTTTGCATGTTCTCCCTTTTTTCGAGGTTCTCTGAAGTACTCCAGTTTCCTCCAGCAGTCCAAATACATGCAGGCAGATTAACTGGTGCCTCAAACCTACTCATGCTTTAACTGTGTGTGAGTGTATATGAACTTCCATTCCGTCTAGGCTGCTGCACTGGCCTTGTGCCCTATGCTCCAGGTCCTCTGTGAAGTTGACCAGGATAAGCTGTTAGAAGATGGATGGATACACCAGAGAGAAGTGTGCTAACTGCTATCCCTCTTAAAAGAGTCAGGGTTTTGGTTAACATGGTAATAGAATAGCCTTGAAAACATCAATCCTCTGTTTGAACTTCAGAAGTGTATGAAAACATGACAACAGAAGAGTTAAATGTAAATAATCAGATGACAATCAAATTTTGTATCACCAGATACAGTAGATGCAGCAAATAGAAGAACATGTCTTAGGACACGTCATCTGGAAATACACACTACACTAGTGTGTAATTTGACTAGGGAGTGAACATTTTATTTTATTTGCATGGTCTAGTAAATCATTGTGTTCTGTCCGTGCATCAGTGGATTTCAATATGGCTGCAATATGACTTGACATCCCTCTGTGTATCTCTTCTCTCTCCTCCCATTTCATTTTTAACAATGCCTTCTATATTCCATGTCCTCCCTATTCTTCTCCACCCGTCATTCTCTCCATTTGGTGCATTGGCGTGTCTCCTTGTTGGACCTCTTCCTCAGTATTGCCATAAAGGGTTCCTGACTGAGCCTTAGGAAAAATCACAGTGAAACGTACATTCACTGGTAACAAAAGTGTGTGTTTAACAAGTGGGCCCATGAAAGTCCTCATAAGCAGAGCCATGAGAGCAAGATGGTTTGTGCTTGATGCATTTGTTTCATTTGGAAATTCTGGCAACAGCTCAGTGTCTATGGGGTTTATATGTCCTGCTCAAAGCCATGCAGATCTCCTGCAATCCAGAAACACACAGATAGTGCAATTGGTTTCTCTTATTTGCCCACAGTGTTTGCGTGTGTTACTGTTTGTGGCTGTCCAGGGTGTCCTGCTCTGTCAAATCAATTCAATTCAATTCAATTCAATTCAATTCAATTTTATTTGTATACTGCATTTTCACAACATTACATTGTCTCAAAGTGCTTTACATTTTCCGTGCCCAAATCCCCCAGTGGGCAAGCTGATAGAGGAAGTCAAATGAACAAGATGGCAAAGTTCTAATTTACAGTCCAAATTTTAAGCTTTGAGTCTGTATGCAAAGGGCAGACAGGTGATGGCAGGCAGGTGATGGCAGGCAGGTGATGGCAGGCAGGTGATGGCAGACAGGTGCTGGCAGGCAGGTGATGGCAGGCAGGTGCTGGCAGACAGGTGCTGGCAG